AACTTGGCCAGTGGGTCACAAAGAATATTTCCAACAGCCTGTTGCAGACCTTTATCAACAGTTGTCTTCGTTCTATACTCAAGATCAGATGGCCGGAAATAATCACTAACAAGAAACTATGGGAACAAACAAACAAAACAAGAACCAATCGCACAACAAATATGCAGGAGAAAGTGGAGATGGATTGGACACTCACTCGCTGAGGAGGCCGCTGGGTGACATCTCGCGTCAGGCCAACAGTCGAGTGGAACCCGAAAGGAAAGCGGCGAGTAGGACGTCCAAGGGTGAGATGGAGGAGATCGTGTGAAGAGGAGTTGAAACAGTATGGACTAACATGGATGTAGGTGAAAAGTACAGCAGAAGACAGAAGCAAGTGGAGACTTGCAGCTGAAGTCCCATGTTCCACTAGGAACCCAAGGGAACAGCAACAACAATTAGAGGTACGGATGATGATGATATGAAGAAGTGAATCATAAAGGCAAGGAAAACTCCATCCCTCTGGAATCAGTTTGCGAATCTTCTGCGCGCCTCAGCATAAACCATGAAATTCAGATATTCAATACCGGTGTTAAGTCAGTTATTCTTTATGCTTCATAAACTTAGCGGCTAAGCCACGAAAGGTATTTCTAACAGGCTATTGCAGATGTTTATCAACGACTGCCTTCTCTGACTTCACACTGAAGATAAGGTGGCCAACAAGAAACGATTAGCTACAAAAATCCCCTGTGAACGAACGAATATTCCGAAGGAAGTGGAGATTGGTCTGTCAGATGCTGAGCAGACTGACATCGCGTGCCAATCCATCGTTCGAGTGGAATCCGAGTGAGAAACGAGGAGTTTGGCGTAGTCCGTAGAGTGATATTGAGGAGATGGTATGATGAGGAGATGGAGAATGTGAGCAATCGTGGAGTGAGTTAAAGGAAAGTGCAGATAACAGGATGAAATAGAGATATACTGCTGAAGCTGTTTATGACACTCAGAACCTTAGGGAAGACTTCCACACTAGGACGAACCAGCTGTCCAGAACACTCTGCTTTTTCAATCGCTGTCGAGATGATGACAACCCGAGGTAAAGACTGTAATAATAATGCACCTTTGTTTAAAATAACTTATTTTCTGAATCACTAGAGAGATATTTCATCTTGGCTTCTATCTAAGGGAGAAAAGACAGTCTAGTAACACTCAGTCTCTATATTCGAGGTTTATTAATTCTAGTATTCTACCAATTCTTCTTTATTGCTTCCCATAATATTTCCTCGGCTACTTAAAAAAGATTTTTCCCGGTCTCAGGTTGACATATCGGCTTCTTGAGACCGAACACTTCAGTTCAATCAATCGACGGGAAAGTCTAAAATCCAGTTAAATAATTAATATGACCCGTTGCACAAGAGGTGGCTCTCGTGGCCCAAGTGGTCTAGTGGATAACACTTTGGAGTCTGAAACTATGAGCATTGGGTTAGAGTCTCGGTGCAGGTAGATCCAGTCGACGAGTCCCGAATAGGATGAAACGCGCATCGTGGATTCCACTACTGTTAGTCACCATCCACCAGTTCAATACTTAAAAAAGACTTTGTTAAACTGCGAAGGGTGCTAAAAGCTTTGGGCAGTTGGGATATCGCCGCACCAATGTGTTATTACTGTTGTGGACAGACATCTGAAGTCGTGCAAAGTACTAGGGGAGGTCGTCCTATCGGACTCTTAGCGTCCTCTCAGTATACAACGCCTTACGTACATTTCATGTTTGTTACTTTGTTCGGCGCATACTTTATATGATAAGAAAAGTTTATGGCAAGAAACTACTAATCTACTGTGAAACAATAATGAAACAGCCCATTTTGTTCTTTGTTCCTTTGATATCTTGTTGTCACTATTTCTACTTAGTTTCGATTTTACTTTCATGTTATTATTGACATTAATATCAGTGTAAATGCCGTGGTAATTATTTGCCTCCTCAGTGAGTAATGTAAAGAGAAAATTAGATTTAATATTGTATTTTATCCGAAAAATTCTAAACTGTATAAAGATTACATTTCGGAATGAAGCTATTATTTGTCAACAGGGTTTCATCATGAGCTGACATAGGTTAGCGAACCATTGACAAGCCGCCTGGGAGTACTAGACAGCTGTTCCCGTTGTTCTGGTTTGCGACCAGCTCTTCATCAGTACGCACATACCGCCAGGTTGCGGTGGGACCTAGGACCTTCTGGTTACAAAGCAAGCTCTTAGACCACCGATCCAGTGGGAAGTCCATGAATTCCAACTTCTGGCAATTCATGACATAGCGTGACCACTAGCTGATGTCTTCGGCGAGTATTTGTCCTCACATCCAACCTGTTGCACTCCACTGGTCACAACTTCTCAATAGAACCTCAGGTAACTACCTAGCTGAATAGGGACAGTCTCCAAAGAGCATCTCATTGATTTTAGTAACCTGTAACCAATCAATCAAATCTCTACAAGCCAATACTTAAAAGCCATTATTATTATTAATTCATTTTCACAACAGTGTTCATTTTTGCTTTATGACGACACTCCACCAATGTCCATTACTCATTCTATATTGAAACACAATGCACAATTATGACTTGAATTTTGTATTTTATCTCACGTAAGTACAACTACTTTGGAGTGTACTATGGGAAGCATATTATTCTTTTGTTGCACTGTATAATTCTATAAACAAAAGTGTTCACTTCAACAGCTAACAGTTGTTTCCTTTTAACATTAGTTGGTCATCATTTCCCCGTTTAGCTTATCCTGTTGACAATAGAGAAAATCCCCGAAGTACTATGATTAATTTCACTTGAAGTACTATTTATTCCGATGGTGGTCAGCACTGAGAACCGGAAGCGCCTTCTTCACTATGCGCTTTTAGGGATTAAACGTGTACATTTATTGTATTACTGTCAATCGCGGGACCGAATAGCTCAGTGATAACGTCTCTGACTGCAGCACTGGGTGACGCGGGTTCGAATCTCAGAAGGGACATGAGTTCTTTCAAGGATGCAGATACGCCTCGCTGACTGGTGAGGGCCAACTAGCACGAAACCCAGGTCCAAGGCTTGCCGCCGATCACCTCCAAACATCTAATATCATCAAATCAATGTGCACCGTGATGGCGAGCGAGCTACCTAAATTGTTGGTGGCCACATTACAACCTGACTGATAGAATTCAGTCTACAGCAAAGAGAGAACTAGACACATCACACTAGTTACTAGTATCAAATCAAAGTATTATTGTCTCTATTAGATATAATAAAGTTAGAAGGACAGTCAAGAATCACCCATTAAGATGGCGTATTTTTAGTTATTCAGTAGATTACGTGGTAGAATTTTCAACATTTAGTTCTTAGGGATTCGATTTGTTTCAAGATCGATCATGTACTGATGTCATTTAGACAACCATCAACAACTCGGGAGTACTGGTCAGCTGTTTTGTCCTAACTTCGGAGTCTTCAGAAGTTCGCGCTAAAATCATGAATTGGTAAAAATTTCGAATCCATGGGCCATTCAATCATGTCCCAGTAACGGAATGTTTTACAAACTTACCTTATAATCGAAAGGCGCTGGATTCGAAAACACCAGAGGGTGCGTACTGCGGAAAGGCAGTCCCAAACTAGGCTCATGCAACCATCCAGTACTCCCTGATTTCTAATAGTTCTCTAGATGAAATCAATCAGTGATCAAACTCGTACCATGTAGTCGGTAAAGAGATTTAGTAGACTGGCTAAGGGACTGACACAAACTGCTTTACCATGCGACTTCTTCTTCCAGCCTCAATTAGCATCGTGTTTTGCAATGCATTATATCTCCTTTTAGAATAGAGAGATAAATTATTTTAAGTTCTATCATCACTTTTCGGCATAATGCGTGCACAAACCATCACCTTAACACAACTGAAAAGTTTTTTTTATTATAGGTAAGGCTAGTGAACTTTTACTTTCCAAAATTTAGATATGCGACATGTGCATCTTTGAGCACATAATTCAGCAATAAATCATTATGCTTTCAATTTGATTGCCTGTTTATCTGTACAGAACTGTATTAGTTGTAACGAGTCCTCGTTGTCAACAGGGTGTAATAACTTTTTACTATTTTTGACTGGACACTAGTCACTTAGTAGTGTAATGTGTGTAGTTCCATCTCTGGTGCAGAGTGAAATCTACTAGTCAAGTTTGTAATGTGGCCAACATGCTAGGGGGCTCGGTATTAAATGGTTGGGGGCCTTGATGATGAGTGCCAACTAGCACGAAACTTAGGTCCAAGGCATCCTGCCGATCGCCTTCAACCATCTAATACCAACTTTACACTACTTTGAGGTACAAGCAGGTTCATATTGTATCTAAAAAAAATTCATCTTTGTTATGATGCTAGCTAACCTTATGTGTACTTAAGAAAAAAACAATAATATCGCCTATCGTAGAATCAAAAATCAAATGCAAAGCTATATCCAACACTACTGGAAATCACTGTGTAACCTTACTGTCATAAATTCACAATCCCTCATAATTCCTACTAACAAATAAGTCAGAATAAGACAACCTCTCACCGATCACATTAATTAAACCGAAACAACAGGACGGACTTCTAGTGCTTCAAAAATACCTTCAAACTGAAGATTCTACAAAATTTGATTGGTGGATGGTGACTAGCAGCAGTGGAATCTAGGACAACGCGCATTTCGTCCTGTTTTGGACTCATCATCTGGATGTACTTGCATTTCCTAGTGAGTGATGATGTCTTCACCGAAGCTCGAACCCAGTGCCTGTAATTTCAAACATCAATGCGTTATCCACCAGACCTTTTAGGTCACGAGAGCCCCCTCTTGTGCAACAGGTCATATTAGGCCGACAGGTCAACCTGGGACCGAGCACTTGGGTCCAATCAATTGACGGGAGAATCTAAAATTCATTTGAAGATTCTACAATTCACTATGCATGTACAGTGGCTAAAATTCACGAAACTACATAGACAAAAAAGAAACATATATGTTCACTTGCCTCAAATTGTCCAACTCTAGTTGGTAACCATGTAATACTTGGTATACCAAGTGCAGATGTGATTTGAAAGAACAGTCGATGAAGCCTGTCCTGCATTGGTCGATCAACGAGTGCACCGACATCATTCACTATGAAGAAAGTATTGGTAACATGTTGGTCGGATTGATTATTCTCGAATTCTTTGCATATTTCATTTTGCATTACCAGGGGATTATAAGTTGTAATAACTTGTTCAGTATACTGTGGGTCTAATAACAAATGTTGAAATGGTTTCATTAAATTCCGTAGATGTAAACCTCCATTCGATTTATAATCTGGACGTTGAAATTTAACATCAAATATAATTCCCTGAATTTTGACACGAACAAAGTCTATATCGTATGCAGTTGCAGTGGAAGGCGGTAATGTTGAAGGCAGCAGTGCAGGTGTTGAGCTGGAGACAGAGGCAGCAGTGGTGGAAGACACATAGTCTGAAGTCAGTACAGAACGTTTCATTAAACGATCTTTTGAAAATGACGAATAAAAGGCTGAAGTGTTGTCACTGACAGGTGAATTTCTCAAACGTTTGAGAACACCTTCGATTATTACCTTATTTATATTCGGATAATCAAAATAAAATTCATCTGAAGTTTGTGTATTCATTGTGTACAGAAAAATTAGTTTTGGATTTTGTAATTCAGTGTATTTGTCAGACAAGTTGGAGAGTGCGCTGTTACTTACGGGATCAATATTCAAATAGGTTAGATTCCCGTAGTTTTTTTGAACAGAATTTCCAACAGTCTCTTTGAAGGTCTTCTGATGCATATTTGAGGCAGAATGAACTGTAAATACACCGGTATTAAGCAGTAAATTGAGAATAAAGATTATCGAGAGCATAATTTCCTCAGAATTTGGTTTGTGAACTGTTTGGTGAATAAAAAGCTCCACAAGAAATCAATATCCTGAAAGAAAAATAAGGGAAGTGTGCCAGGTGTATATCAATGTTGAAAATATCATGCACATGAAGTACGTTATCAATTCTTCTGGGATCATTTCGACTCAAAATAGGTACACTCTTGTGATCTCTAATTTATCTGAAAGGATGTGTTCGTGATTTAACTTTCTTTCAAAACTCATGCATCGTTTTTCGGTGTTAAGTAATGAAATTTATGCTGTTAGTTTAAAGCAGCAACGTGAACACTATTCCACAGAAATGTCAGGCTGAAAAGTAATTTGATATATTTGAAGTCTCACAGGCGTGTTATACAGTAATATGTTTACTGATGTCCACGTTTCAAGCACAATTTATTACTGCTCATAATCACCCCACATCAAGGCACTACTCACATAACTTTCTAACTTCGTTTATATAATTCCATTATTTTTCATCACCTGATGTGACTGGTAGTGGCATTTTGCATATTTCCGGTACGAGTGATGAGTCATTGCTATTGCACAGGTTGGGTGTAAGCTCGATGAACCAGGAGACAGTAAGTAATCAACCTCTCTCTTTCTTCAAATACCTGTATTACTCTTTGAAATTCCGACAATGTCCCGCCCACCTCATTGTGTGGTTGTGTGTTAATGCATACAGGGCAATGTAGTTCTGAGTTTTTTCTAAACTACTTATCTTCGTAGGTGGGATCAATCATTCTCACCTAATCTGAATTCTAATGTTCCGACAATCTGACTACCCCCGACCTACTGGTTTGACTGCTGCATGCTGCATGCCAAGTAATCCACAACGGGAAATTTACGGAATCCTTAAAAGTGAGGACAGGGGTAAGATAAGGCTGCCTACTATCACTCATGATTTTCCTGAATGCAGTAGACTGGATAATGCGGCAGACAGCGGGCAATGAGGAAACAGGCATAAAATGGACTCACAAAAAACTTGGAGGATCTGGACTTCGCCGATGTGATATATATGTCTGATTTCCCACAAACTGGAAGATATGCAAGTGAAAAACAACAAGTTGGCAGAAGAAGTATCCAGAGAAGATAGGACTTCAGGTGAACATAGAGAAAACAGAGGTGATGAAGATTCCTGGACAAGAACAACAACAACAGACAACAATCAGCATAAATGGGAGGAACCTGAAAGAAACAACCTCCTTTACCTACCCACATACCTGAGAAGCATCCTTTCAACTACAGGCGGAACTGGCGAGGATACCAAAGCAAGGATCGGGAAAGCAAGACAAGCTTTCATTACTCTCAAGTCTGTGTGGAGGTTAACAGCACTCAGCATGAAAAACAGGATTCGGATTTTCAACTCCAATGTCAAATCTGTGCTACTTACCATACTGATCAGGGACTTGCACTGCACGTCATGAAGGCCACTTCGAACAAACTACAAACCTTCATCAACAGCTGCTTTTGCTCAGTACTCAAGATCAGATGGCCAGCCAGAAAAGATCAGCAACAGGGATCTCCGGCAATGAGCGAACCGACCAGGAACCGATTGTGAAACAAATGAGCAGGAAGAAATTGAGATGGATTGGCCATACTCTGAGGAAACCATCAAGTGACATCACTAGACAAGCCATCGCTCAAGTGGAACCCGAAAGGGAAGCGGCGAGTTGGTCTTCAGTGCGAGGGTGACTTGGAGGGGGTGATGTGAAGAGGAGATGAAAGCATGTCGGCAGACTTGGAGCCAGGTGAAGACTCTAGCAGAGAACCGAACGCAATGGAGACGCACGGCTGAAGCCCTATGTTCCTCTAGGAATTAAAGGAAACAATAATGATAATAATAATAATGTAGTTTACCCCACTCACAGTCCACCGATAGGGTCCTTAGGCCTACAGAGCTTGTCTCTGAGTGAGTTTGTAGGTTTGAACGCTGCCCTAATTCTTTCTTTATTAAGAATCCTTCTATGTAGAGTCTGAAATGTCCCCTCCCTACTTATATTGGTAAGACTACTGTAGATGCCATTTATTCTCTCTTATTTACGTTATTTATCAGTATTAGTTTCACCATTAAATAATTTTACTCACAAATGTTGTTGATAAAATTAAATACTGAAGTAAAGCGTTTGAAGGAAAAGTAAGGACTTTATTGTCTAACAGACTGGGTCACGTAACTCAATAATGATTAATGGTTCTTCTTAAAAATTATTGTGTTATCGATGATACTGGCTATACTTCGCTTGAAGTCAATTCGAATAGTTTCTATTTCTAAGAATAAAGAACCCTTGATCATTGAACTGATGATCTGTCAACTTATTCTTAAAGTTTATAGACTAAATTTATAACTCGAAAAGTTTAAGTGGGCAAAAGATGTCTATATAGATATATATATTCAGACTGTCCGGTATTAAGAGATGTCAAATAAACTAAAATTAATGCGAGCAGAGAAAAAAAGAAGGATGAAGCAACTAACTTGAGTATTTCAAACTGGAATTTTAAGCAGTGGGAATTAATTAATTAATTCTAAACAAGGAATAAATCACTGTGGCGCAGTTAAAACCCAACCTATTGGTGTTTGATATTTTAAGGGACAGTGTGGTTAGTGTTGATGTCGCACTCTTGTTAACCTATTTGACAATTCAGACAAGAGTTTAATGCCCTGTTATAAATAGACAGTTTGCATGTTTATTATGCTGAATAGTATATAGCATTTCAACTTAATTCCTGTCTAATTGAATATCTTAAAACAGTATTTCCACCTAGCTTTTAAAATAGTGTCCGGCTTTATTTATAACAGAGGCACGTATGTTGATTTTTCTATTTATTAGAAATTCACTGAATAAGTCACGTCAAATTCACATTCTGATTAGACTGTCATTTCATTTTATCGCATCAATTTAGATGTGAAACAATATATATTTATAGGACCCTCACGAAAAACTTGGAGGATCTGGACTTTGCCGATGATATATGTCTGATTTCCCACAAACTGGAAGATATGCAAGTGAAAGGCAATAAGCTGAGAGAAGAAGCATCAAAGATAGGACTTTAAGTAAACATAGATAAAACAGAATTGATGAAGATTCCTGGACAACAACAACCGACAACAACCATCATAAATGGAAGGAACCTGAAAGAAACAACCTCATTTACCTACCCACCTACCTACATGGGAACCATCGTTTCCACTACAGGTGAATGAAACTGCCGAGGATATCAAAGCAAGAATCGGGAAAGAAAGACAAGCCTTCATTTCTCTCATTAAGTCTGTGTGGAGGTCAACAGCACTGAGCACAAAACGAAGACCTGGATTTTGAATTATAATGTGACGTCAGTGCTACCATACGGATCAGAGACTTGGCCAGCGCATCATAAAGAGCACCTCAAACAAACTACACACCTTCATCAACAGCTGTCTTCACTCAATACTCAAGATCAGATGACCAGCCAGAAAAGATCAGCAACAGGAATCTCTGCGAGTGAACCAATCCAGCAGGGACCGATTACGCAACAAATAAGCAAGAAGAAATGGAGGTGGATTGGCCATATTCTAAGGAAACCATCAAGTGAGTGACGTCACACTCAATGCAGGCTATCACTCGAGTGGGACCCGAAAGGGAAGCGGCGAGTTGGTCGTCAGTGTAAGGGTGACTTGGAAGAGGTGATGTGAAGAGGAGATGAAAGCGTGTGGGTGGCAGACCTGAAGCCAGGTGAAAACTTTAGCAGAGAACCGAAGACAACGGAGACGTACAGCCTGAGCCGAAGCCCTGTGTTCCTCTAGGAATAAAAGGAAATAATAATGATTATATAGTGGAGAAAAGTTGTGACAGGCGCTTACGAATCTGACGAGTTACGTCAATGGCATTTTCACTTGTTTTCCATCACTGTGTCTAAAATAGGCAAGCATCCTACATTGTTTTGTTGCTTTTTGGTAGATTAATGCCATCAGCTAATGTTGTTGTAGTTAAGACTAATCTCACCATACAGGCGTGTTAGCTGAAGTGACATTCACAAAGGAATTCATTTTCGACAGTGGAATACGGCCGGTGATTCCCAAACTAGGATGAAACAGTTGCCCAGTACTCCCTGGTCTTCAGCGGATCTCTAACTGATATCAATCCGTCATCAACTCGTAAAAACAAAAACTATTCCTTACAAACCAACTATAGAAAATAACAAATACAAATTTAGCAAGTTTAGTGGTGTCTAGTCAGGATATTTCCGAGATTTCTCTTATGGTGTTATGCTTTAGCACAAAACACTTCTGAAAGCATAAAATATGCCTCTTAAGAAAATTTTTCTGTTTAGTGTGAAGCAGTTACACGTAAGTGATAATGACCGAATGTGTTACCTTGTCTCTTGTGTCACGTAACTAACGACTATTCTTGAGTGACATGTGACATGCCTAAATCTATACTACCACGTCCTAGAATCAAGACATGAAAGTTAAATGAAAGTGATCACAAAAATCTACCCAAACCCTCAGATACAAATGTGCACAAGTAGTTCACGGTAGGCAGAGGCTGAAGTCTTCTGTTTTCTGTATACATAGCTGGGGATGAATGTGGATAATTCCAATTGCCTCCATCAGCCTTAGTAATTGAAAAAGTAAAGTTTCATGAAATAATCGATAGACATTAATGAAAACAAAACAGGTAGTTCAGTGAAGGGTCCCTTTTCGGAGGCGAATTCATTTTCTTAGCTGTACAATCGCAAATATATATATGTGTTATTTTGAATGTATGTGTACATTAAGTTTTTCAAACAAAAATACACTT